TTGTTCGTTAGACTCTGAGTTGTTAAAAAAGGCAATATAAGGTGTTTCAGTAGGCTTTTCCCAGGGTGCTAAATAAGTGACTTGTGTTTAGCCCCTTTTCTAGGGCATTATATTCCTGCCTTTGCTGAGGAGAGATGAGGGTGGAAGGAGGTGACCTGTTTCAGTTCCAGTCTGTCTTGATGAATCTCACCCATTTGGAGCACATTTGCTGGATATACACACCTAACAATTGCTTTGATTCCCAGTTCTTCTCCTTCTTTGGGTCTCTGAGATTCAATTTGCAGATGCTTCCCCTCTTCCTGCAGCTGTGAAGTAATGCTCATTAAGGAACACAATAGGAAGTATTCCTTGTGGTTTAAATGACCTCCCTCCTGGTACCAGCCTTTCCAGGACAGCTGGGATATTTTGTAAATAATATATTAAAAATATTTCCTCTGTATATGCAGCTTATTAAATGTAAGTGCTCATATTAATGTAGATGTTTAGGAAACCTTTCTGAAAGCAGGATAATTAAGAGCTGCTGATGTTCAGGGAAAGCCTCTTTTTGGAGGGTTTGTAAACCATGATTTTGCTTTTGGTATATTAATCTGCCCCTAGGAAAAGAGAGTGAGAAAAGATGAGGCAAAATTTAGTAATACTAAGCTACTTAGGATAGTAAAAATGAAGGGCTCATCGTGGAAGGATCTTATGCAGATGAACGACTGTGCAATAAAATTACAAATATTAACTTCTCAGAGCCCACCGTTTTTATGTCTTGCAGATCTATATAAATTTGTAAATTTATAGCAAGTGGTAGCACCAGCCAAAAATGCGATCTTGGCCTTGTAATAGAAAACTCCCTGAGCATATCAGCTTAGTACTGAGTATCCATCAAAAAAGGAAAGCAAATGCTAAAAACCGGGACTGGAATAGAGAAGAAAGTGGAAAACCTTACTACGGCCCTGTATAAAGCTGTGGGTCATGTGTACCTTATATAGTTGCAGTTGTGGTCCCCCCATCTCAAAAAAGAGTTGGGAGAAGGGTGACCCAGCCTAAGGACCAAGTTCTGTACTAGCTAAGTGCGCTAGAACTGCTCAGTCTGGGCCAGAGACAACCTGGAGGGGTGTGTGGTAGATGTCTGTCCAACTGCAGTAGTGTGGAAGAGAGGGGTAGGGACCGACTGTTGCCTCATCCAACACAAGAACCAGAGATTGTCCAGTGAAACTAGTAAGAGTCATGTTCAAAACAAAAAGGTCCTTCACAGCACAGTGGATAGCTGGCCATGGACTTGTCAAAGCCTGTTGTGACTGATACTTGAAATAAGAGAAGAGGCAAGCCTAAGGAGAGAATCGGAGGGTTGCTGCGTACATGGAAACCCTGTTTCCCATGAGAAGTCTCTCAGCTAATAATGGTTAAAAGCTGGGCAGGTATTAGGACTTGGCTTGCCTTGTTCTTTCTCTCTGCCCTAGGCACCTGCTTTTGGCCACCAGCGAGATGGGCTGCTGGGCTAGGTGGATCTTTGGTCTAACTCAGTATCGGTATTCTTGTGAGTCTGAGGATGGCCTAGGTAACGTCTCAGAATCCTTCCTGCCTTTATCTTCATCTTAATCTGGGAAGATCTGGTAATTTGCAGCATCAAATGAGCATTATGCCTTGGGAGCCTGTGTACAATCCAGCAATTTGGAGCATCCCAAGGCTTAGTACCTCCAGATTCTGGGTAGCAGCTCAGGTGTGATCTTTCTGGGACAGTGTTGCTGACTTCATACCATTCCCTGAGTATTAACAGGGATGAAATTTAATTTTCTCTGCATTTGCATCTCATGGTTTACTTTTTCCTTTTTTTTTATTTTTTTAGCTGAATAATACTAAAGCTGAAGAGATAATAGGTGCCACAGAATCCATATGAGAAAGAAACTTTGACTGAAGAATGAATATTCAATGAGATATGAGCTCAAGCTGAAAATATTCTCACAGCTCAGGCATTCCTAATCTCCCTCCTGTGTAGGTTGCCTGGCATTTACTGAGGGTAGAACTCACTCTGTTCTTCCCTGTGTTTTGTCTGTCCGTCTGTATTTTTCCCCAAAGCTTCTGGAAATTTAAATTCTTCAGTATCCTCTTTTAGCATTCTTATGCGTTCAGCAGTTTCAGCCAAATTTATTTTGGGAGATGTAAAATGCACAGTTGGTGATGACGTTTTTTTTAATCTAATTAAAAGTTAAATCGGTGTATGGTTTATTTTGTCACATCTCTTTACGTATTTTAGTGCTTCATAACCTGTAAAGCATTGATCGTATAACTCACCATCATAAGCAGCAAAAAGAGGCTAAGGATGGACAAGGAGCAGCCCCAGCTGCGTTGTTCCACTGGTGCTGGTGGGTTTGGGTCCTGGGAGCGCTGTGGATGCATGTAGCTGTACGATGGCCTCTGAAGTCTCAAAGCATTAAATGACCGAGTGCTGGCTGTGTTTGCTTCCTGCACTGGTCAGGGCATGGCCTTCTGCTTGTCCTGCTGGATTCAACATCCAGAAGGGATGGACAGCTGTTTGTGAACTCTTCTGCTTAAGGACATGACTTCTGAGACTAGCTGGTGTGATCTAAAGCTTTGTTTTTCCCTATCAGAGTTAGGGACTTTTCTCACAAAATCAAATCCATTCTTAGGACCATGATGGACATCTCTGCTTATGTTGATGTTTAAAGTGTCTTTTAAAGGGAAGGAACTTAAAAAAAAAATTCTACTGCAGGTTGGATTGTGTGACTTCATGTTCCATCTGTTGCTTTAAATCTTAGTCACTGAACTTGAAGAGTGTTTTGCTATTGTCTTCTCATGGTGATAGGGTCTTGCCATCCTCAGTCAGCCCTTCCTCGTGAATACCTAGGCTCTGACTGTGGAGTGCATTTCCCAGCAAGTATTGCTGTGATCGTGCTGTGAACCTTTCCCTCTTCTACAGCTTTTCCTGTTCAGCGTTCCTCCTGCAATTGGCCATGTTCAAACACTGCGCGTTTCCCTACGGCCCCTCTTCCAGTCGCACTGTCACAAGAGTTCTCATTGTTTGACATGGTGTAGAGGTGTGCCACCTGCCAACTCTCTAACCAATTACATTTTCTCTCAATTTATTAAAAAAACTACATAATGATGACTTCAGCACTGACTGTTGTTATTTTTTGCTTAAAAACTAGTTTACACAAAGCCACTTCTACTGGGAGGCAGCTGAGGTGGAGGGTTGGAGCAACCCTTTCCCAAAGACGCACCAGAGAATTTGGATTTCAAAGGGAAAATGGGATAGTCTGGTCACTCGTGGAGTTCCAGAGCCTTGCAGAGTAACTGTGCTAATGCAAATGTCCTATTTAAACATGCACAAAAAGCTGAATTTTCAAAAGTAGCTTGAATAATGAAAAGTACAAACGGTTGGGTTAGGAAAGGGGGTGGAACGTTTTGGCAAAAACTACAGTGAGGGACAAGTTTTGTATTTGAAGTGCTCCTGCAGCCAAGGGTTAGTATAGCATGTCGTGCGTTTCTACCTGAGGGCTTGGATTCTAGGCTAAGGTAATACAAGGCAGAAAGGTCGGGTTTTATTCCTTGGTTGGTAGCTCATTCTGCTCGGCTAGGTCCAGTTAGTGATATCCCTTCACAGTGCCGTCATGAAAATCGGTTACGGAAGGTCCGTGTGATTAAAATCTCCCTGGCAAGTGAGTGATGAGAGGGAATATCTTTGTATTTGATAGGATTTTAAAATCTCGGTCTGGTTTAATATATGCTCTTTGCTTTCTTGTCACAAATTGTTTAATTTTATTCATTTGTTCCTAGCATGTTTTTGCTTTGGAAAATCTGGGTGAGAATCACTGATGGTTGGAACTCATCCAACAAAGGCTTCTTACGGGGGAGAGGTCTGATCAGAGCTGAAAATCTGCTGCTTGGAAAGGCGGGGAAGCCTGTTGCTGTAGATGACTATAGATACTCTGAAATTTAATTTAGGTGTTAGAATATCTTTCTGGCCTAAAGCTGGCTAGAAATAGCAAAGCAATCCTGTCATTTTCTGGATAGAGTTACTAGTTGGATTATTTCTGTGCAGAATTTCAGTTACCTCTGTTCTTTCATATTTTATCCTTGTGCATTACTTGGTTTGTTCTTAAGAGAAAAACAGAAACATTCTTCCAGGTTTTTACAGTTTCAGCAATCTGGGGATATAACCTTCCAGACTGTCAGTACTGGGTGTCTGAAACTCTCCGTGCTGTCAGGTGTGCTTATTCCTTTAGCAACTCATTTTTATTAGCTTTTTATTCTGAAGAGTAAGATTGCAGAGAAAAGCCTTTCTTCTCATTTCGTCACTCCTGCCCAGGATGTGAGCTGTCGTTGACACCTTAAAGTATTGAAGCACCATGGCTATGACAGTACCACTGTTTTAAGTATTATTGGACTGATAGGTGTCTGTGAATTGGAAAGCCGGGAGCCACTGCTCCCCAGGGTATGTAAATAGTTGCCTTGTTGTACATTCTGGTTTGGCACAAGAGTAATTTATTAGAGATTTTTTTTTTTTTAAATTTAAATACATTACTAGGTGTTTCTTTCAGTGTTTATAAGGATTCCTGGGATCCATTTAACTCTTTTTGTTGCTTGCAAAGTTAAAAGCTTTGTGCTTTATTCATGACACTGACCGTCACAAAGCTAGGCTCTATTTTCAGTCCCAGCTCAGTGAAAAGTAAAACAAAGTCTGCTGTGTCTTCTTTCTTTTTGGGGTTGATATTTCATCATTTTTACATTCCCTTTAGAGACTCCCTTTGCTCAGTTGCCATTTGTTGTCACTAATTTCATTAAAATCTCTGCTGTAGCTCTGAATGGGAGTTTATTGTTGCATTTTTGGTCAATTCATAGAACTCTTATGTGTTCTGTAAGTTTCACTGGAAGGAACTGCTGCGGGGAAGAGGGGGTTGATAGTGTTTTAGTGTCCGAAGGCTGCAGCAGCACAGCAAATTATGGTGTGAGGGTTTTCTTCTAATTTTTTTCTTTTCATTTACTGTTGTTTTAAAACATAGCAGCTGTGAAAATTTTTACAGGCCATTGTTTGGATGGTACATTTTCTCATGACTTACTAAACTTTTTTCAGTTAATTTTTTTTGTACAAAAAATTGATCCCATATTGCCCTGGAAACCTGACTTGAGTCCATTGTAATCTTTGTCTTTCTTTTTTCCTTAGGAAATTTGCTACAAGACCCTATAGCTCCTACCAACTCCACGTGTCAGCATTATGTCTGCAAAACTTGTAAAGGCAAGAAGATGATGATGAAACCGTCATGTAGCTGGTGCAAGGACTACGAACAGTTTGAGGAGAACAAGCAGCTAAGCATCTTAGTGAACTGCTATAAGAAACTCTGCGAATACATAACGCAAACTCCACTGGCACGAGATATTATCCAAGCAGTTGATTGTTCTGCAGATCTTTTGGCTTTGCTCAAAGATGGATCACCACTCCACGAAGAGACAGAAAAATCTTCCGATACAGCCTTGGCTTTGTGTTTGACACATTCCCCAGTACCATCAACCTCAGAACTCACGACTGACCCTCCAGCTAGTTTTACGTCAATACCTGAAAGCACACACAACATTGATATTAGAGCTTCTGTTATCAACGGGTTGCCCAATTGTAATGGGCTTTCGGTCGATAAACTTGGAGTGAATATTCCTTCTCCTGAGCACGCAAATACAATTGATGTCTGTAGTACTGGAGAGTATATAAAAACTGAAGATATCTCCAGCAGCCTGCAGCCTGTGTGCGATACAGTTTCTACTAGTGACTTGTGTACGACAGGCATCGACATCTGCAGTTTCAGTGAAGACATAAAACCAG